AGAGCAAACACCGTCACATCTCTCTCGGACGCACTCGCAGCATTCTTCGCTGCTTCCTCCAGCCATCCACTCATCTTCAAGAAGTTCACATCCTCATTGCAGTTCTCTGCCAGATGTTGAACTTTCTTGCTATACGAGGCACCAGCAAGTATCTGCCGCTTCTGCTCTTCAAGGGGAAGAAGATGTGACAACTGCAGTCGATCCACCTCATCCAGAAGCTCTTGTTGACGGTTTTCAATGGCTTTCTTCAGACCACCAAAAACGTCGTTGATCCGGGAGGACAAGCCTTCAGTCTCATCACGGAGTCCACTCAGTGCCGCTTCAGACTTTTTGATCGACTCGTCAAAAACACTGCCACTTCCAAGTGATGTGCTAGTCAGCTTGGCTTTCAAGGACTGACGAATGCTAGAAGATGCATCAGTGATAGTCTGCACATTGTGAGCAGCATGATCACCACTGCTTACACATTGCTTGCACACTAGCTGCTCACAACTCAAGCAATACGAACACTGTGCAAACGAGGGGTGGAATGAGCATTTGTACTGGCTGGCTGATGTTCTATCACGTGTACGTTCTGCAGCCTCACTGAGCGACACAACAGTGTGTTTGTACGACCTGCGCGATACAGGGTGGCTCTCTGCGTGGATAGCACAGAAATTGTCACCACAGTCCATGCAAACAGCCACTGCTGCAGTATCCCCAGTTAGAGGACATTCATCACACAACTTCTTACGGCCAGCACTTGCAGCAGCTACCTCCGCTCCAACCCCATCACTAGACACATCACTGTCTGGCAGGTACTGCAGCAAGGGCACACCTCTCTGTGGAGGTGGAGTGGTTGTTGCACATTCAGGACATCCCACACAGCCTTTGCCACTGATGTATTTTTCCAAACACTCCATACACAACGAGTGAAGACACTTCAGCAGCTTGCCATGCTTACTACTACTTCTGCATGATACACACTCTGGTCTGGACATGGCTACTCAATACAACTCCACACAAACACACAACACCCTGACTTCAGTAGATACACGAACAGAGAACACTGGAAACTCAAAGACAAAGTCACTGTACATACCAGTACGGCACTACACCAAGCCTATTCGATTTACTGGGCAAAAATGATTTTTAATTCATCCACAAATGTTTTACCGTCAGCTTAGCCTAGACTAGAACTTAGAGTAGAAGGCGCACTAGTCTGTACGCACTATACAGACAGTGACCTGACTTGATAGGAGCCGTGCACACTACAGACGACGGGGACTACATCTAGGCCCAGGCAGATTCTTCTCCTTTGACCCAGTTGTTAAACAGTTTGTCACATGTCATGTCAGTAGATAGTGAGCGCTGTGTTGTCATTCTGGACACTATCAGTGATAAACATAGTCAAGTATATGTCTGGCCCCGAGTCTTGATTTGCCTCTGCACTGCTGCTGTAGTCAGCCAGCACGGTCTCACCAAACCAGTGTGTTTGTGTGTGTGTGGGTGCACCCTGACTGACCTAAGGGGCATACTACGAGATGTACTTTTCAACTGCACACATGGAAATCTTCTCATGATTTCACCGTGCATACCGACCAGACTAGTCTGGTTATCATCATTAGCTGAGTGACTGATCCCACCTAAACTGGGCACCTGGTATTCCATCCGGTTATGGAAGGATATTCCATCTAGCCAGAAGTGATGATGTCAAAGGAAAACGTCTTCAGCCGATGTATTCCAGTCTGAATCTCCTTTCTACGAAATGTTCTCTCTTGAAAGTCTGCGGCCTTTCTTACCGTTTCTCAGAGACTTGTCCAGTACAAGACAAATACTCCAGCCAAAAATTTTCTTTCTTTGATACTACCGGTAGTGGTACAGTCAGTATCGCCTATAGCGTTGGTGTTTGATTTTGAGCATTTTATCACTATAAGCGATATATCACTATGACCGATACTGCATGCAATGTATGCGAGTGGGGTGTCAAACGACTCAGCGCGCCGTGCACATACGCACTACATACATGTACATGTACAATGTCATGTAGCTGGCTGTAGCTCCTGACACACAAAATCAGGATTTCCTCATGATGGAGGCATATTTTGGCAACTTGTACAAGCAAAACTCACCAAACAGCACTCACTGGACAAGTTCTTCACGAAGAAGTAACACCCTGCTCTCCTCTGACATCGCTTGATTTTACATCAATCACTATAACCGATGCAAATATAGTGTAATAAAGGTCTTTTGAAATAAGAATTTGATCACTATAGGCGATATATTACTATAGACGATTATTACTATACGCGATAACTGTGTATACTTAGTTATGGCAAATGAAAATGAATTTGGGAAATTGATCACTATATCCGGTATATTACTATAGCCGCCAACCTTATAGGCGATACGGACTGTACTATAACTCACATTCTGTCTTCCACGTGATAGCGGCCCAGAATCACATCCTCACAATGATCACCCCCCACCCCCCCCCCCCCACCCCCTTCCACACACACACTCCCATCATAACACCAAGAGTAGATAAACAAGAGTGTGCAACTCCGGATATCTCCTGCACAATCTGCAGATATCCCGCGCCCACGGCGGAATTGTTTGTTTACGTCACCTTTTTTCAGACAAACGCGGATTTTGCCGCAGAGCAGTGTGAGAGCACGTGCTGGGCACCGACCTTGTAGTGTAAAGCCCAGCCAAGTGCACGAGGGAAAACTCTCCAAAAGGCTCGCAGAGGGTGCGTCGTCGAAAAGATTACGTCAATTATGTAGTACCCGCTATGACAGCCACTACATTATGACATAGTGAATATGGGCAAAATGAGGTTGCTCGTGGTACATACACAAGTGCGCGCACAACATATCAGTCGAGACATTTCTGGTAAACTTTGTTACAAATTTCATCCAAGTGTTTGCGGCATCAAAGCACACGAAAACACAATACGAGTAATACTCACCGTGTCCTTGGAATGTCTTGTGCTGGTCTCCAGTCCTTCAACCCACTGCATGTACTGCTGTGGAATACGGGCAGACAGGTCATGAAAGCTGACTTGGCCAGCATGGCTTGCGCTAGAGGTGATTTTTGCCACCGCAGAAATATTCTGGCATCCTCTGCTGGAATCATGGATGTCCTTGTAGTGACTGCTGGGCCTGCCATCGACACAGCTGCGAGCATGCTAATGCTATTAACGAGCATACTATTGCTATTGCTGGTGGTGGTGTTGGTACCTACATCTTGTTGTGCAATGCACCCGGAAACTGAGCAGATGAAAACGAAGAAATACAATGTCATGTCATTTAGGTACATGTACCTCATACATTGTGCTGATGATGTGCAGCTTCCAAAGTCGGACAAAGTCCACTCAGTCTCTCTTTGCCTCACAGCTCGCAGCTCGGGTACACACTGAAATTACTCGGTCGACCTCTTACCTACACGTAGCGGCTCGCCAACCTTCGTGGAATGTCATTCCCTGCCACAATTTTGTTACGGACAGGGCGCAAAACGAGCAGTACAGTAGGCAAGCACAAGCTGCATAGTAGATCTACATTGTGCTTCTCAGTTCAACTACGACTACGAGTAGTGTCTACGAGCAGCGGCTCAGTGTTCCCAGACCCACTGATGCCAGTGATAGCAAACACCAGCGAACCAGGTATACCGGAATGTGCAACTGAACTGGCCAGCATTTCCTATAGTACTGCTATTACGGAAGGCCACAAAATTAATAAAATTGCTGCAAAGAAGTAAGTATTAAAAGTACAGTGCTCTACATGAAGATTGACACTGCATCATGCCGCCGAGTTTGGTGAACACGAGGTAGACATGCACTGTATGTACATGCACCTGTACGTAGAGTAACACTCACAATAGTCTAACTCGGATGGTGGGCCAATTAAATTAAAATAATTATTGTGAAAAGAAGAAGGACAAAATGTTACGAGTTATGACTAACTGTCCAGCAACGTAACCAGATCTTATACAGTCAGCGAGTGCGACAAAATGGCACAAAACTGACAAGGTCACTCGCTGACTGTATAAGATCTGGTTACGTTGCTGGACAGTTAGTCATAACTCGTAACATTTTGTCCTTCTTCTACTCACATAGTCGTTACTTCGAGGTAGGGAGTCAGAAGGTTTGACCGCAGGCACAAACACCTTGCAACAGACTGTCAGTCAAGGAAGAATTAGTAGTGGCATTACTCTTTTCTGGTCGCTACATTCGCTAATTTTGTAGCTTGTTTTTTTTTAATTCTGCAGATCCAAAATCATGTTATAGTCATAAACACAATTGTCTGAGGATTGGTTCAGCCGTGGAACTCTGAGTCACAACGGAATTATTATTATTTGCCCAAGGTTTTCATTGTGTGCCCTTGTGTACGTGACTGGATCAGGTATTGAGCACTTTCGCAGAACCTATTAAGGCTAAGCCTACTGCCTCTGTGTATAGTACTAGACATTATTCCAAGAGTAAGATGCTCAGACTGTCACGGTATTGTGCTCTATGGCCAGTGAACAGAGGCAGTAATACAAAAGTCAATACTCACACAGCAATGTCACAACCAAGTCCTTTTCTGCCGGTACTCAGAGTTTTGTATCATATCTCACACCATGAAGTTGGCATGATGAGAGGTTCTTTTAACACGAAACTCTGAGTAACGACAGAAAAGCACTTTGTTGTGCCATCGCTAGTGTGAGCATTGGATCAAAACTCATCAATTAACTCATGTAGGGATGAACATTACAATAATTATGATCATTCTGCAGTGGAAGGCTCAAGCTTCAATTCGTAAACATTTGCAAATATATAGTGAAATGTTGATTTAGAATGGAACTGAAATCCAAAATGAGTAGAAGACCGGAGTGGCACATTCCTCAAGTAAAGTCCATATTAGCTCTACAGCTCTAAAGAATGTGTGAACTATTCACCTATCAGCCGGCTCAACACCCATACAGTCCACACAGCGCTAGTCCAGAAAAGATGTTAAAAAGGAACAAGGCTAGGTTGGAGATTAGCTGTGCTGTATCATCACAGACATTAAACTGTGTTTGCTCACAGTGGAATGTTCACACAGCACGAAGAGAACATGCAGTACAAACATCACAGAGTCAACCATGAGAGCGCATATGACAATGTTGAGCAGGTTAGTTGTCTGCATGGGAAAACAGACAAGATCACCACCGATACAGACAGCGACCAGTTAGTCCTGCCTACACATCATATCCTTCATGTGCCCCGGCATCAGCCATTACTCTAGGCTGTAGAGACTAAGTAGATCAGCTTGCTGGTTTAGATCAGTGGTGAGCGACCCAGCTTGCCAGTATCCACTCCAGCCATCCAAGCACATCCACTGACAATGCCAGTATCCACTCCAGACAGCCAAGCACATCCACAGACAATGCCAGTATCCACTCTGGGCAGCTATACCTCACCAGTTCAACAGCTTAGCATGATTTTCACGTAAGCTTTAATGAACCAGAATCTTACACGACCGTATATGGTTCACAGTGAGCCCCGTGTAACATGCACACACGGTAGTTGCAACAATGATAGATGCACTGGGCAGGATGAAGAGGCGGTGGTAAGTCGAATGTCCGTCGAGTTTGTCACGGTGGATAGTTGACGGCACACTGCAGCGGTCCAGATAACGACAGTGTCGGTTGTGCTGGTGCAGTGTTTCCTGCTCACATGCCGCCCACACCACCACACGATTGTCCCTGGTCTTGTCGGCGTGCAGCAGCTGTAGTTGACTGATAACATACTGATCGGAGCACAGTGCAAGTCTGTGCTGACTGCCAAGAGCGGAGACATTCACGTCACGATGTAGTGAGCAGGACAGCTGTCCCAGGAACGGACAACCCTGTCTTAGATCACTGCTGATGATTAGAATATCCGCACAGGACCTGGCCACCCACAGAGCATTGTCAAAGGCTAAGATGGATGTGCAGGACTGTGCTAAGTAGTACAAGCTACCTTCAAGACAGAACTCACGTTGTGCTGGTGATCCAGTGGCTTCACCATCATACATCGTTCTGCTGCGTCTTCTGTCCCGCAGGGCACCACCACCATTGCTGATGACATTATTGCATTCTTCGTCGTCGGAGTTGATCTCCTTCATCACATCCATCTTGCCCTGCAGCAATGGATAGCTTGTGGACCGACCCGCAAAGGTGAAGCTATCACGTGACATATCCACCTCTGGGGCAGACTTGCGGCCAGCTCGAGGAGACGAGTCTGAGCCGCTAAAGGTTGTGACGCTTGTTACCACTTTGCTTGTGCTGTGTGGCCTTGTGTGATGTGGTCGTACTGGAGCATCGTCACGTCCCACCATAGTGGTAGCACGGTCTCGATGACCTTCTGGCAATGACAGCTGTACTCCTGTCGTCCTGGTAGCAGACCTCTTTTTGGTTGTGACATGCTGCGGAGGACCTATCTTTCCACTGCTGTCAGGCTGTGTGAGCAGTTTGGTGTTGTACAGGAGAGGTGCATCGTTGCGACAATACACAATTCCCAGCATGTTATGGTGTTGCGGTGAGAGAGCAAGGACAATCGGCTGCCTGCGATCCACAGCCCATACAACTGCATTGCACATCACCATCTCCACTATGCTGCACTTAGCTTGGTACAACTGCAAGAACAGAACCCAACACAGATACAGCAAAAAGTGACCACAAACACATGCATTCACACATACTCATACACATGCATTCACACATACTCATACACATGGGCGTACACATGGGCGTACACACACACACACACACACACATACACACACACACACATACACACATACACACAAACGCACATTCACACACACATACACACGCACACACACATACACCCCCTCCCCCCACACACACATCCTCGATAGTAAAGCTACACAGGTCCGTCGGAGGAGGAGGAGGTTATACATACCCACTATGTCATACACAAACTGTATGAAAGATCATGGTATGGCGGAACCAATCAAAACTGCTTCCGGTGGACTTGCTACAGCAGAAGCCCAAGTAGCTTCTGCTGGGATTGCACCATTCAACTGCTTGGAAGGCTAAAGAATTGATCGCTTCTCTTTAGATGAGCATACACCACACATATTTTCGAAGTGGTTTTTCACTGTTCACCATGGCTGACCCAACTCACTGTCTGTCCACTTCCCAGTGTGGCTGCTATATCAACACCATCAAAACAATGTTATCTTTCACATTGATACTTGTGCACCCATGGAAAATTATTGTCCTTCCACATTGACAACAGTCAAAGAAATTTGGACATTACACGAACACAGCCTGTTCCCACATGGAGCAGTCAGCCTATCATCGGTAAGAGCATCAAGGTGATCTCATATTTGCCAAAACAGTCAGTCCTTGCTTAACCGCACACATCCGTTTTCCCCAAAAATATCCCGATAGGCGAGGGAACGGGAAAATCGAACACACGTACGGTATGTGTGCATGGCATATGCTGTCAATCGGTATTGCAAGTCAACAAATATTCGGCACATATTTATTTTCGGCTATTTTCGGCCTGGTCATGTTTGTGTGAAAAATCGCCTAATACGGGAGCTCGCCAGATAGGGACCGGCGGATTCTGCTCGAAAAGGTGGCAGATTCTGCTCGAAAAGCAGTGAAATTGGCAGAACCATACAAACCTTATGGCGGGCAATTCCTCGAATTCTGCTCCATTTCTTTATCCACATACCAAACATGCATGAAACTTACCAGAAAAAGAACCGAATTCTGCCAATTTTTCATACATGTTTGGCCGAAAATTTGTTGCAGCCGAAGTATTGTTTTGCAAGGTTTAGTGTGACAGTGTATACAGGCAGCAGCAGTACAGGCCGAAAATTTAATGTGGCCGAAATGGGTTTTAGCCCTGGGAGGCCGAAATTTGAATGGGCCGAAAATTTGTGGACTACCAGTAACCAGCGATTTTCTTCCGGATGGCGAGGGATCCGGATAAAAGAGGACTGGATAAGCGAGGTCTGACTGCACACCATTTCCTCATACCATGTACTGGTTTACAAGAGCATGTGTACATCATTACTTTCCGAATTCCTTCCCTCCGCTACTTTCTAGCTCAGTGTATCTATAATACCCCTTAGGGTGTGGGTGGCTTGGTGACGCATACACCATTCAATGTGGAGAGGGAGGTTGGTCTATACAATCAACATGCAAGACCGTTTCCCACTTTCTTGTCATCGTCTCATGCAGTTATCTCCTTTACAATTTTTCAGCAGGTCATGCAGAACATCAGTAAGGGTAAAACACAGAACACGATAGTGGTGAAAGCAACCGTGGTCGGTTGAAATGCACATGTATAGCTCATTGATTATCATAAATGAAACGTAGAAAATGACTCCCTAGTTCTTTGGAGCCAACCACAGCAGAAATAAACACAATAACAAACAGAGTAGGTAACAGAATCAATGAAAACGTCAGGAAATGTAGTGACTAGTTGAGCTAACACATTCACCAGTTCACTAAGACAATAAACACAAAGGGTGTTATACACATGAAGAAATCATGAAACTAAAGTGAATAGAATGACGATTGTTATGAAGTAGAAGAGTGCAAGACAGCGAGCGAGCTAGGGAACAACAAATGGCAGAGTGGCTAGGCCATTAGGGGTACTGGGTCACTCACTCTGCAGTCTGATGCCTTCCTCTCTCTCCCTCTCTCTCTCACACACACACACACACATGCATACATGCGCACACACAAACACACACACACACACAGGCACACACACACACACACACACACACACACACACACACACACACACACACACACACACACACACACACAGGCACGTACATGCACATATAATTATATGAATATATGCACTCATAACTGCCTTCTTGTGGATCAAGCGGATTGAAGCTTTACACGATAGTAACTTGGTCTCCACTGTAAAGCAGGCTGAGGTAGAGGTAGAGTTCACCTGTCACGTTGGTCAGTGTCTCGGTTGCTCCAGTCCGCTCATGACGTCCGACTAACGTTTGACTGTCACAATCCAACGACATATGAACGACGTCACCGGCTCTCCACGGCTGACCCAGTGCAGTCCCTGTCCAGTCACCACCGTGACCACCGGCGCTGTGGCCGTACCATCCAAATAACGCACTCTTTCCATTTTGATATGTGTTTAGTCGTGGACGCTGGGCATTACACAAGAAGAACATGTGGTGAACGTTACCGGCAGTGATGCGATCAAGACGGAGGGATATCTCGTGTTTGCCGCTACTCCATTTCCTCGCGCCACATACTGACCTCCAGTTACCGCTAGCAGCAGCTCCACGAGTAACCGTTCGGTTGTTGTTTGACAGTGCAAGATCAGCATGGCATTGGCTGGGATCAAACCAAAGAGGATCCACGATGGTAACCATTGCAGGACTTCCAGCTACATGGTGATCTCCAATCATGACTGATACCTGCATTGAACCTTTCTTTCCGGTCGTCTTGTACGTTGCAATCATGTTAGTGCCTTCATTAGGACTACTGTCGGGCATCAGCACAGGATGAATGGTGTCGGTGGTGTTGTCCGCAGATGTTACGTCAACGTGAACGCCAGACAAGTGTGCCTCCGTCACAGCCAGACTATCACCGTGGCCATTCCTTGGCTCAATGATCACGGTAAGGTCGTCTCCCTCCTCAACACTGGCTGCAGTAGTCATGCTACTCTTCTCCGATGACAGCATACCAATGTCACTCACCACACCAGTTCTGGCAATGGCTGCAGTCAGCTCCTCGACGTGGTATGGCGAAAACAATAGAGTTCCCAGAGCAAACCCCTTCACATCTCTCTCGGACGCACTCACAGCATTCTTCGCTGCTTCCTCCAGCCATCCACTCATTTTCAAGAAATTCACATCCTCAGTGCAGTTCTCTGCCATATGTTGAACTTTCCTGCTATATGAGGCACCAGCAAGTACGTGCCGCTTCTGCTCTTCAAGGGGAAGAAGATGTGACAACTGCAGTCGATCCACATCATCCAGAAGCTCCTGTTGACGTTTATCAATGGCTTTCTTCAGACCACCAAAAACGTCGTTGATCCGGGAGGACACGCCTTCAGTCTCATCACGAAGTCCGCTTAGTGCCGCTTCAGACTTCTTGATCGACTCGTCAAAAACACTGCCACTTCCATGTGATGTGCTATTCAGCTTGGCTTTCAAGGACTGACGAATGCTAGACGATGCATCAGTGATAGTCTGCACATTGTGAGCAGCATGATCACCACTGCTTACACATTGCTTGCACACTAGCTGCTCACAACTCAAGCAATACGAACACTGTACAAACGAGGGGTGGAATGAGCATTGGTACTGGCTGGCTGATGTTCTATCACCTGTATGTTCCACGGCCTCACTGAGTGGCACAACCCTGTGTTTGTATGATCTGCGAGATACAGGGTGGCCCTCTGCGTGGATAGCGCAGAAATTGTCCCCACAGTCCATGCAAACAGCCACTGCTGCTGTATCCTCACCACATTCATCACACAACTTCTTACGGCCAGCACTTGCAGCATCTACCTCCTCTCCAACCCCATCACTAGACACATCACTATTTGGCAGGTACTGCAGCAAGGGCACGCCTCTGTGTGGTGGTGGAGTGGTTGTTCCACATTCAGGACAACCCACAGAGCCCTTGCCACTGATGTATTTTTCCAAACACTCCACACACAACGAGTGGAGACACTTTAGCAGCTTGCCATGCTTACTACTACTTCTGCATGATCCACACTCTGGTCTGGACATGGCTAATCAACACAGCTGCACACACACACACAACACCGTGACTTCAATCTGACTTCAGTAGATACACCAACAGAGAACACTGGAAACTCAAAGACAAAGTCACTGTACATACCAGTACGGCACTACACCAAGCCTATTCGATTTACTGGGCAAAAATGATTTTTAATTCATCCATAAATGTTTTATCGCCAGCTTAGCTAGGCTAGAGTGCGCACTAGTCTGTATGCAGTGTATACAGACAGTGGCCTGACTTGATAGGAGCCGTGCACACTACAACACTACAGACCACGGGGACTACATGTAGGCCAGACCGATTCTGCTCCTGCCTCTGGGGCATGCACATCAGTAAACAGTTTGTCACATGTCATGTCAGTACATGATAGTCAGTGCTGCACTACATTGTAGTACTTCTTTGTTGTCATTCTGGACACTATCAGTGATGTACTGTTAAACCTGTCAAGGCGACCACTTGGAGATAAGGCAACCACCTGTCCTAGAAGACCACTGAAACCAGGACACAAGGGATGTATGTATGTATGTATATTTTTATTTGAATTCGCAAGTACACACGGGCTACAAGCCCAATTACATGGAAGCGAATGCCATAATGAGGCCAATTAAGAAAAGAAAAAAAGGTGGAGGAAGGAGGAGGACGGTAGCAAAGCAACAGGGAGGACAATTCAGGACCAAAATCAACAATTGCACAAATGTGAGAGCACCTGAGACCGGGGGTACCTGTGGAGCGATAAAATGCCAAGCAAACAGAAGAAAGGAAATCACAAGCCAATACACGCTAAACTGCACTTGAGTTAGAATGAAGGGGAAAACCGGAGCTCAACAAAATTATAACGTACAAAGTCATAATAAGAAGTCAACTGGATGAGAAGTAGCACAAGCAAACATTTCCTGACAACGAGAGGGTGCTATTGCCAGTCAAATGCTACTGGACAAGGAGACCACCTGGCAACAGAGACCACATTTTGAAGGTCCCTTGAGCGGTCGTCTTGGACAGGTTTCAATGTACATGGTCCTGTGTATGTGACCACGCTTTCCAGCCCGTGTATTTTGATCTGTCATTGGTTGAATCCAAGGCGACAATCACGTGACATACGGGAACTCATATTCTGTCTTTCACGTGTTTGCAGCCCAGAATCACATCCTCACAATGATCACCCCCCCTCACACACACACATTCACACACACCCATCATAATAGTCATAACGTTAGGCTCACTAGCATACAAAACATGGAAACTACATGATTGTAATAATTAATTATGCTTTCAATGCTCTAACTACAGGACTGCTGAATGAAATCCAGTCAAGTAAGTTTCTCAAGTACGCGCCGGGCGTTGCACAGCCCTAGACCTGCGAACACTGGGCTGCGAAAAGGTGCACGGCGCCAACTTGACTCTCGGCGCCCACTTGACTCTCACGACTGGATTTCAGTGAGCAGCACTGTACATAATATGAGCGCATGCGCACACAACACACATGACTTGCATTAGTCGAAACATTCATGGCAAGGTAAATCTCATCCAAGTGTTTGCATCAAAACACAAGAAAACAAAGTGACTACAAGCAGTGCTCACCTTGAGCTTGGCATGGAGTGTTAACATGTTGTGTGGATGGCTGGACTCCAGTCCTTCAACCCACTGCAATGTAGTGCTGTGGAACCCAGCCGTGCATACTGACTTAGCCAACAAGGCTTGCGCTAGCCGAGGTGATATCCTGGATATGCGCTGCAGAAATATTCTGGCATCGTCTGCTGGAATCATGTGAATGTCCTTCTAGTGACTACTGGGACTGTCAGCGACCCAGCTGCGAGCATGCTATTGCTATTGCTGGTGTTGGTACCTACATCTTTTGACGCGAGTGAATGCACCCGGAAACTGAGCAGATGAAAACGAAGAAAAACAATGTCATGTCAGTTAGGTACCTCGCATGTGCAGCTTCAAGAGTCGGACAAAGTCCACTCAGTCTCTCCTCGCCTCACAGCTCGTAGCTCGGGTACACACTATAACGTTACGAGTACTCGGTCAACTTCTTATCAACACGTAGCGGCTCGCCAACCTTTGTGGAATTTCCTTCCCTGCTACTACCGGTATTTGTTACGGACAGGTCGGTATAACGAGCAGTACATGTAAGCAAGCACAAGCTGCATTGTGCTTCTCAGTTCAACTACGACTACGAGCGGCGGGTCAGTGTTCCCAGACCCAGTGACGGCAAACAACAGCGAACCAAGTACTTACATGTACATGATTGTGCAACTAACTTGTAGTAACTGAACTGGCCAGCATTTTCCTACTACAGTCTACCTGGTCTACAGACAGTACCTGCGACAGTGGGAGGCGACACTGCAGAGCCTGAGGAAGTGAGAAAGTAAAAAAAAGGTGTCGCCGGGTCTCTTTGATCCCGCCATTGTCATTGAAAAGTGCTGAAAGTCACAGATACCTCACTACCAAACCTAGTACAGTGGATATTGTAGAGGAGACGCTTCAAACCCTACCACTGCTTCGGAGAAAGTAACGAAACGCTAAAGTTGCTATTTTGTGTCCGCAAAGCACGGAACTACTTTGGAAGGCCACAAATACATTGCTTCATAGAAGTAAGTAAAGTACTATTACAATGTCATGACGTCATTGTATTGTTAGTAGACTGTGTGGATTCTACAGTATCTAGGAGATGGGAGAAGACTAACACTGATCAGTTTGGTGAACACGAGGTAGACATGCACTAGGTACATGTATATACATGCACCTGTAAGGCTGTAGCTGTACTAGCTGTGTGTAGAGTCACACTCACAAAGTCGTTACTTGAATACTTCGAGCTGGTAGGGAGTCGGAAGGTTTATTGTTGTTGTTGTTGATTTTTATTTTGCTTCGCAAGGCCAAACGGGCAATGGTGCCCAATTCTATGGAAGCGAATTTCAAAAGGGAGAGAGCTACGGGGAGAGAGAGAGAGAGAGAGAGAGAGAGAGAGAGAGAGAGAGAGAGAGAGAGAGAGGGGGGGGGGGGAGGGATGGAGATGATAAGCAATTTTGGAGCGTCAACAGAGCGATTTTGCAGTGTCAATAGAGCGATTTTGAAGCGTCAACAGAGGGAACACAAAGAGTTCATAAGCGCACAAGCACGCAGAGCAATTTTGTAGCGTTAACAGAGCGATTTTGCAGTGTCAATAGAGCGATTTTGAAGCGTCAACAGAGGGAACACAAAGAGTTCATAAGCGCACAAGCACGCAGAGAAGAGTAAATGACGTGGTGTGTGGACGGGAAAAGTCAGACAGAGCATTCATTGCAAGGTGTAGGGGATGGAGGCAAGCTTAAATTGCTGGGCAGCCTTGATCTCCCTTACACTCCTTGGGAGAGCGTTCCAGGCCAAGGCTGCCTGAAAGGCCAGGCGAGATCTGCCGGCTTCTGACTGTGCCGAGGGGACAGTGAGGCCCCTGGAAACCTGGTGCCGGGTGGTGCTGCCAGCTGATGGTGAGAATAGGTCCTGGAGGACACTGCTGGCTTTCCCATTGACACAGCGCCACACCAGGACGAGCCGCTTCTGGGCGTAGCACTCCCGAACTCTGTACAGGGACATCCGTTCGAGCAGAGGCTGAGCCGAGGTGTGAGGCGGCAAACCGTATACCGCTCTCGCCGCTCGGTTCTGCAGGACCTGAAGGCGATCAAGCTGCGAAACCTTGAGGGAGGAAGAGAAGGCGTTAGACCCATATAGGAGGTCAGGCATGATGACTGACCTCACATACTGGATGCGACTACTGAGGCTCAGACATCTGCGGGACCGCCACAATGCTCCAATCTTCTGCACAACTTTCTTCGCCATCGCGTCAACATGGGGGTCCCACTTCACAGCGGCGTCAAGGGTCACGCCGAGGTACCTTGCTGTTGGGCTCAGGGGAAGCTCTGTCTGGTTGCAGCGGACAGCGACATGCTGACCCGCATTGCGTTGTGGTACAATTGACAGGACCTGGCTCTTCTTGTCATTTAGTAGCAGATGTCGATGCTTGAGCCAGTCAGCGACGTTGGTGACGGCCCCTGACAGGCAGGCTGATGTGGCTAGCACTGATTTTCTGTGGCAGTGCACTGCAATGTCATCGGCAAATTGCAGAGATGGAGCAGGATGGGCTGTGGCAGGGACATCACGGGTGTACATGCTAAACAGGATCGGACCTAGGACCGAGCCCTGAGGTACACCAGATGAGCACTTAGCAGCAACACTGTAGGTGGGGCCAATGCGCACTTGCTGGGTTCGATCGCTTAAGTAGCTGCAGAACCAGCGAAGGGAGGCATTGTCCAGGCCAAGATCGAATAGGTCCCGGACCAGTTGGCTGTGATTGACCTTGTCAAAGGCTTTTGACATGTCGATTAGGCAGACGCCTGTGGTCAACTTGTCGTCCCGGGCCTTTAAGATGGCATCTGTTGCTACAACTAGGGCGTCCTCTGTGGAGTGCTCACGGCGGAAGGCAAACTGAGTCGGTGGTATGGCACATGATCGCTCCAGATGTGCAACAAGTTGCTTCTGGACTATCTTCTCGAGTAGTTTGGATACGATCGGCAGGAGCGACACAGGACGATAATTCGCAGCTACCGATGGATCGCCAGCTTTGAAGAGAGGGCTTATTACAGCATGTTTGAAAGCCAGAGGGACTTCACCATGCCTCAGCGATGAGCTGAAGAGCACTGAAAGCGATGGAGCCAACAGGTCAGCGCAAGCACGTAGCAGACACCCAGGAATCCCATCACTGCCTGTGGCTTTGCAGGGATTTATCCGTTCCAGGAGGTGCTTGACCTCATCTGGGGTAGTTGACTGGAAGGTCAGCATTGAGCCTTGCGGCTGTGGACCAATGGGAATCTGGAGCTGCGCCGGACGGGACGGATCATGTACAATGCTGTGGAAGGCATCCGAGACTTCTGTGATGTCGCACGTTGGCTGATGATGTTGACGAGAACGGCTAGTGACAGAGTTGATCACGGACCACATCTTCCGCAGGTTGGAGGAGTGATCACGACACTGCTGTTGGAAATGCTGATTGCGTTTTCGCCGGTAAGCATTTGAGGCTTCTGCACGGGCTCGCTTGTACTCCTCATGTAGATGCACGTTAGTCTTATCTCGTAGCCACTTTCGGTGAAGTCTATTCTTGCGCATGTTCAGTTGGAATAGATCACGGTCGGACCATGGCGGGGGAGTCCTCCTGGTGGAGATTCTGACTTCACGCAGGGGAGCGTGACTTTCGAGAACCGACATAAACTTGGCATGCCAGCCATTCCACATCTCGTCTACAGTTGCAGCAGGGGGAAAGGAGTGGAGGCTGCACGAGGCAATATCTTCACGAAATGTTGCAAGGTTAATGGCACGGATCTTGCGGGTGAGGCGCACTGATTTCCGCTGCAGTGGGTGTTGCGAGGAGGGTAGAGACAGACTTGCATGCACAAGGAAGTGATCGCTGATCGTGCAGGGTACAACTTCACAATGACTTATAGTACCCACGGTGGAGAGCACTAGATCAAGCAGCGTTCCATCCGGACATCGGGGTGTGACTCGTGTGGCAGACTGAACATAGTTGCGGAGCCCATACGATCCGATAAGGTCCCAGAAGCGCTGGTGAGGACGACTGGTCATGCATTGAGCCAGATTGATATTAAAGTCACCCACCAGTGTCATTGATGGCGTGATCGTGGCAGCATTGTGGAGGACTGTGTCCAGGTGGCCCCAGAAATCAGCAGTTGCATTTGGTGGGCGATAGAGGCATCCAACGAGGTGCTGGTGTTGCCCTCCGCCAATAGCTATCCAGGTAGCCTCCAGGTGGCTATTGTGCAGATCAGAACGATAGGTAACTGGGAGTGATGTCTTGTAATAGAGGCATGTGCCCCCACCCTGGCGATCGGGCCGGTCACAGCGAACAACACTGTAGCCGGGAATACAAATTTCGCCATCCGAGATTGTACTATCCAGCCAGGTCTCGGCAACGCCAACGACGTCCCAGTGGTGCTGGTGGGCAAGGCTGTCCAGTGCATGCAGCTTGTAGCGCAGGCTGCAGATATTCAAAAACCCGATGTTGAGGCTCGTGACGAACAGTTTGAGGTTGTTGCAGTTGGTTGTTCTTTGGGAGCCCCGGGACCTTCGAGGCTGGAAGGGAGTAGCATTGGGGTTTAGCAGGGGTATATGGCTGGCAGCAGACATCACTGTTTGCTGACTGGAGCCACGCGCTTTGCAGCTTGGTCTTCAGCGGGAGAACCACGCTGGTGGGGTCGTGACTTCTGCCCAGGGGTCCGAGTTAACTCAGCGCCGGGTTTGGGAAAACTGTCGCTGCTGCTATTGCGGCGGCTGCTGCTGCCGCTCCTGCCACAGTCGTTTCCGCTGCTGTCGTCGCCACTGCCATCGTCCCTGCTGCTGTGGGCATTGTCGTTGCCGTCGCCACTGCCACCGTCACTGCTGCTGCCGCCGCCACTGCCACAGTCGTTTCCGCTGCTGTCGTCGCCACTGCCACCGTCACTGCTGCTGCCGCCGCCACTGCCACAGTCGTTTCCGCTGCTGTCGTCGCCACTGCCACCGTCACTGCTGCTGTGGGCATTGTCGTTGCCGTCGCCACTGCCACCATTACTGCTGCTGTGGGCCTTGTCGTTGCCGCTGCGCTTCTTGGGTGGATTGAATTTCCATGTCCTGCAGTAGAGAGGCCGAGGCCAGAAATTGGCAGATGTCACAGTGGCCAGGCAAGCTGCATCGATGGTGACCCTGGCGGATACTTTGCCGCTAGCTGCCGTGTGTACATTGCATGAGTGGACATCTATGATGTTCCCTGTGGCTGCTACAGACCGGCGGTGCACAAACTCCGTGAGACCCTCCATTGTGCAGGTGCTGCTAAGGTTGCCAACAAACACTACTGCTCTCCGGCTTCTTGGTGGGGCTGCAGCAACCAGCTGCCAGCTGTCGTCATTTATGGCATCCACTTCCTCTTGCTCTGTGTTGCCAGTTTCAGGTTCAACACTACCTGCAGCGGCCGGTAGGGTGTCCTGGTTAGGCCCAGCGTTGGCAGTAGTAGCACCGAAAACGGGCTTGACACTGACAGGCAGGAGTCCAGTATCCCCTGCATCAGACTCAGAATACTCCATTTCTGTGTCCCCAGAGGGCACTGTCTTGGTTGCCTGCCAGGGTGTGGCGGCGCTACGGGTACGGGGTTCAGTGTGGGTTCCCACGTGTTTTACCTGCTGGTTTGGCAGTTTTGCACTGTCACTTGCGCGTGGCTTTGACTGTCCAGGACTACTGGCACGGGTACTCTTACTCGTAGTACTACTACTACCTGCACTCTTGATCTCCTTGCCCAGCTCGCTTTTTGAAAATGGTTGCTTGACTGCCATAATGGCGGACTCCTTCAATGACTTCATTTCTTGCCTTAAATCCAAGACCAGGCCGGCGAGCTCGTCTACTCTCCGCTGGAGGCGTACTTCGTTGTTTCTGGCCTCACTGACGAAAGCATTCAAAGTATCTACAAGGCTGACCACGTTGTGATGTATTCCGGGAATGCTACAAAGTAGCTTCACCTGCTCCGCGCTTGAGAGCTCACCCATGGCGCAAAGATTCTCGTTGTGCACAACCTAGCTACCTAACTACACTACTGCAACTGCTGCCACTACTACTACTACTGCTACAACCTACCTACTTACCTCCAGTCCGGCCTAATGCCGGCTGGGCTGTCCAAAAGGTTTCAAGAACTGGAGCTCAAAAACGCGTACCCACCGCACAGGTGACTGTTACAAAATGTCACTAAAAGCGCCGTTTCGTTCTTATAAAAGCACGGATGACCGCGATTGGCCCATATGTTGTAGTCTTTTGGACGCTGAGTCGACTGGTTTTGGTCCGAAAAGGCTGCGATGCAGCGTTCCTCCTTTATTCCCAATCGAACATGGTTGAAGAAGCGGTCACGTGCTCCTGGGTGCCCAAATCACCTGGTCACCACGCCAGCAGGTGACAACTTTCACACCAAGGTTCAACTCGAGTTCAACTCGAGTGACAGGACTGCACCCAAAAAAGGTCAAACAGGCTAGTAAGTTGTACCCTGCAGGCACGGTGACCAGGTGACTGGTGTACGCAGGAGCACGTGACCCGCTTCTTCAACCATGTTCGATTGGGAATAAAGGAGGAACGCTGCATCGCAGCCTTTTCGGACCAAAACCAGTCGACTCAGCGTCCAAAAGACTACAACATATGGGCCAATCGCGGTCATCCGTGCTTTTATAAGAACGAAATGGCGCTTTTAGTGACATTTTGCATACAAATCCCCATCTAGTAGGGCGCAGTCACCCAGTTTCGGTGGAAGTGCGCGAGTTCGATTGGGATTCAAGTAGGAAGGGAGCGTCTCAGCTTCCTCGGACCACGACCATTCGACTCAGCACCCCGAAGACTACAACTGATGAAATTTTAATTTTTGCCTTAACTTCCCCTTTAACCAGGCACAAACACCTTGTTACAGACTGTCAGCCAAGGAAGAATCCCGTTACTCCACTTCTTTTCTGGTCGCCATATTCGTTACTATGATTTGGTAGCTTTTCAGTCTTAAAAATTCTACAGATCAAAACTCATAATAATGTACGACAAGGGAGTAGTACAATACTGACTGTACACTACTACTCCCTGGTCGTAGACACAGTTGTCAGTTGTCAGAAACCTGTGAGTCACAACGGAATTTGCCCAAGGTTTTCATTGGGCGAGTTCGATTACACACAAATCGGTCAATTCTAGAATTAGTTATTGTTGATGCACAGAAAAAAAAAGTAAAGTATCGTGTACATTCCCGAAGGGAACTCACGACGGCCGCTAACACCCGATAAATCCTGCACAGTTCGATTACACAAATTCCGTCGGTAGAATTGAATTTATCCAATTCCGTCAATTCTGAAGAGAGGGCGGAATTTCTCTAATTCTGGCGCCAGACTTGCACGCTCGGTGTGTTACCGGTCTGGTCATGCATGACTCAGGTCAAGGAAGAATCTCCCTGGTCGGTGTGGCGCGAAAGCAGGGCTACAACTGCATGTGGTTGCTGCTGTCTTTTGTCTTCCCGAAAAGCTATTTGCCGCAGTTGGAGTTTCCGCTGGGACTGGGAGCTGACTGTGAGAGTAGATCATTATGGGTGGTCCTTTCGCACACGTGTTCAGCTTTATCGAAGCCCAATATCGTTGCCGACATGGAGCCTTCACGATCACTGGGATGAACTGATAATCCGGTACGCAAAGCTGGGTCTACATGCACCCCGCGAGGGTGTACTTGATCTCTTTTTACAACCAATTTTGTTTGTGATATGCCATGGATAAAAAGCGTTGTGAATTCCAGTCGTTCATTTACATGGCCGGAATTCGTACATTTTGGTCATTCCAGAATTACAAAAACCTAGTTCCAGAATTGTGTAAACGTGTAATCGAAAGCGCCCATTGTGTGCCTTTGTGTACGCCGCCCTGCCTGGATCAGGTATTGAGCACTTTCGCAGAACCTAAGCTGCTGTCTCTGTCACAGTGTGTATAGTCCTAGATAGTATTCTAAGATCCTCATAGCTCGATTGCGACGTAGATCTACGTTTCGTCCCCCCTGGACTCTACGTGCCATGCGCTACTTGATGTACCAGCCTGCTATGTCGGATTCCGCCAACCATGCATCGACTAGGCGCCAGGCGCGAACTGATGGTGGTGGTGGTGGTGAGAAGGAGAGCTCTGTGCCAGAACTTTGCAGCTTAGAGAGCGTGTGTGGGCAGGCGTGTGTTTACCGCCATATTGCCAGGTGTGTCTTTACCACCATAATTATCAACCATAAGTACAGCTGCAGTGGTGTCTTCAACTTCATTGTCCTGGTAGGAGACCTCTTTTGGGTTGTGACGTGTTGCGGAGGACCTATCTTTCCACTGCTGTCAGGCTGCGTGAGCAGTTTGGTGTGGTACAGGAGAGGTGCATCGTTGCGACAATCCACGATTCCCAGCATGTTATGGTGTTGTGGTGAGAGAGCAAGGACAATCGGCTGCCTGCGATCCACAGCCCATACAACTGCACTGCACATCACCATCTCCACTATGCTGCACTTAGCTTGGTACAACTGCAAGAACAAAATCGTACACAGACAAAAACACAAACACATTATACACACACATACTCGTACACATTATAATTATACACACACACTCACACACACACACACACACACGCACGCGTGCACACACACACACACAACCACACACACACATACACACACACGCGCGCACACACACACACACAAAACACACACACACACATCCTAGACCTTAGTTAGTCGAAAGTGAAGCTACACAGGTCCGTCGGGATCGGTCCAGTTGGTCAGATCATCACCGGACAAACTTGTTGACCATCGACTCATGTTTACTGCTGAGGAGGTCATGACTGTGTACCCACTATATCATACACAAACTGTATGAAAGATCATGGTATGGCGGAACCAATCAAAACTGCTTCCGGCGGTCTTGCTACAGTAGAAGCCCAAGCAGCTTCTGCTGGGATTGCACCATTCAACAGCTTGGAGGGCTAAAGAATTGATCGCTCTTTTTAGATGAGCATACACCACACACCTTTTCGAAGTGGTTTTTCACTGTTCACCATGTCTGACCCAACTCACTGTCTGTCCAGTTCCCAGTATGGCTGCTGTATTGACACCATCAAAACAATGTTATCTTTCACATTGATACTTGTGCACCCATGGAATATTATTGTCCTTCCACATTGACAACAGTCATAGAAATTTGGACTTTACACAAGAAGAACACAGCCTGTTCCCACATGGAGCAGTCAGTCTATCATCGGTAGAAGCATCAAGGTGATCTCATAATTGCCAATACAGTCAGACCTCGCTTAACCGCACACATCCGTTTTCCACAAAAATGTCCGCATAGGGGAGGGAACCGAATAATCGAACACACTTACTGTATGTATGCATGGCATATGCTGTAAATCGGTATTGCAAGTCAACAAAATATTCGGCGCATATTTATTTTCGGCTATTTTCGGCCTGGTCATGTAAATTTGTTGCGGCCGACATTTTGTTTTGCAAGGTTCAGTGTGACAGTGTATACAGGCGGCAGCAGTACAGGGCGAAAATTTAATGCGGCCGAAATGTGTTTTAGCTCTGGGAGGCCGAAATTTGAATGGGCCGAAATGGGTTTTAGCCCTGGG